AAACCATTTTTGTGGGTGTTAAGTATAAATAATAACATTTATTACAACTTGAAAAAATAATTCATAAGCAAATTTAATAATATCATATCACCACATATTATTGACTATGGCATAGCCTAATTTGCCAATAATAATGGTAACGTGTAGATAATATCATATTTAGTATACATATCTTGACTGTGGCAGAGCCTAACTTGTCAAGAATAATGGTAATATATATATATTTTTGACTGTGGTAGAGCATAACTTGTCAAAAATAATAGCAATATGTATATATATCCTTGACTGTGGCAGAGCCTATCTTGTCAAGAATAATAGTAATATGTATATATATCCTACCTTTCTTGACCGGGTAGAGCGCTCGTGCTGATAACGTGTTATGAAATACGGGGAATATAAAGAACACAATGTATAAAACCGGATATAAACTGTAATCAGCCTTTTCTTTCACTTCTTCCGTGTGTATTTTACAATGCCTATTGGCTCCCTTTTATAGGCAACTTTTGCCCTCAGTCATACACTTGCACACACTTCAAGACACATTACAATATATTAATGTAAAGATAATATTTTTATTAGTGGTAAATCCACATATTTATAATAAAATAGTATTTCTGTTATTTCTTTCGTTTTTTCCTCTCTCTATCTACTTTTCTTCAGATAAAAGGACTCTCTTTCTCATAAGGGTCAAATTTCTGACCTCGTCCAATTCCAATGGCGGATCCATCTACAATGGCTGAAGCTCCTTCCACCAAGCCATCCATCACTCACGTTATTTTCGACATGGACGGCCTTTTACTAGGTAATTTTCACTGTCTAAATTCTATGAAGCCCGAGAAACAAATTTGCTGTAAACAGTTTTCTTTTCAGCGAGTGTTATATTTTGGACTTTTTAAAAAAATATATCAAACGATACAATGCACCTTGGTCTACGAAAACAGCCTCCTTGTATAATTACAAGGGTAAGGTCTGCGTGCCAATTGACCCCCAAGACCCCAACCAGTTGGGAATATGGGAATATAATGGGTATGTTGTTGTTGTTGTTGTTGTTGTTGTTGTTGTATGATGTTAGATCCATCTGATTTGCGTGGTTTCATGATCTGAACAATGAACCTTTCACTTAGTTGAATAGTGGGTTAAATTTTCACTGCAAGTTATTGTCTTTCTTTGTTCAAGGCCTTAGTCTCATTTTGTTTTGTGCTCGTTAATTGACCGGTTTAAGTATTCAGAGGCCCATGACCCTGTTTCTAGGAAAAGGGACAATGAGTTGGGACTCTTGGGAGGAATTTGTTCAGAATGTGCTGTTAGAATGGATCCCAATGGTTAGGTTCATAGCATACAGAAATGTAGACTTGATAATTGATCTTGTTCGATTATAGCGATGAAATATATCATATTTATGAACTTTCAGATACTGAATTGCTTTCTTGTGTTAGTGTAAGGCATAGAAAATATGCAGATTGGTATTTTCTGTAATGTCTCATGTTTGGTGGCAATAACGGGAGATCCAGTTTTTAACAAATGATACCGGGTAGCTTAATTGTCCCCTTTTCTTTTAATCAAACGAGTCCATTGTGGATTGCTTTGTTACTTTTTTCTTTTACAAAGGTAAGGTAAACTATATTTGTTTGTCTTTTGAATCTCTCTTGGGCATGTTAAGAGTTACTCTTTGCTAAAAGTTCTACTAGTAATTCACTGTCCTAATTTAACAGTCACCGGCTTTGTGGATCCAACTCTGAATAGAAGCATTTGATTCTGTTTTCATTGATTTTTATTTCTTCTCTTTTATGTTCTTCCTTCTATATTCTCAGATACAGAAAAGTTCTACACAGAAGTCCAGGAGATTATCCTTGCAAGATACAATAAAAGTTTTGATTGGTCTCTCAAGGCCAAAATGATGGGTAGAAAAGCAATAGAAGCTGCTCGAATTTTTGTGGAAGAGAGTGGAATCAGTGACTCACTCTCAGCTGAAGAATTTCTTGTAGAGAGAGAAGATATGCTGCGAAGTTTATTCCCCTCGTGCCAACTCATGCCAGGTTTAATGTTTGATGTATCTGATAAAATAATTTCTCCTTGGGTTTTTCAATCTTCTCTTTAGATTTCCTTCTTCATTTTATCTCAGATATATATATTTATGTGCTTAGAACTGCTGGGACTAAACGGTTAGAAAACATTTGCTCCTGCTGAAAGCATCTCTGAACTTACTGCACTGCACTGGTTTTTTTACATACTTATATGCATTGGCCAATATTTACAATTTATGCCTTAAATTAATAGGTGGTGTTTAAATAAGTAGATATTCTTCACACCTTAAGAATTTTAGTTAATCCGTTTTTGTTTCAGGGTGGAATTCGACTAGAGGTTTTTCCCTTTTCCTTGAATATTAAAAGCGTAATATAATTATCTTAAGAACTTATTTTTTATTCTGACATCAATCTATATAAGAGTCACTATATAGTACATAAAAACTTGAAGAATAGGTTCTGTAATAAAGACTTTCAGGAGATTCGTCTTCAGTTCAGGCATCAGATACTAAAAAAATTGCTCGAACACCTCCAATAAATGTTAATACATCCTTCCATAAGAGCTTCTCACGAAATGGAGCTGCGTAATAAATGCGATTAATTTATTTGGCCTTTTTATATTACATGTACACATTTACTTACCATCATATCTTTGAATCTACAGGCGCCAGTCGTTTAATTCAGCACCTTCGTGCGAATGGTGTACCTATTTGTGTTGCAACTGGGTACATTTCGTGTTTATCTTTATAATTTTTGATGATTTAGGGGCTGAAATTGGTAATATCATTCAACACATTTTTCACAAGCATGCTCATTGATCTTTTTTTTTACCTTGCAGTTCACACAAAAGGCATTTTGAGTTGAAAACTCAAAGGCACCGTGAACTCTTTTCACTGATGCACCACGTAGTTCTCGGTGATGATCCGGAAGTCAAACAAGGGAAACCTTCACCTGACGTGTTCATTGCAGCTGCCAAAAGATTCGAGGTTTACTTTTTTAGAAACGGCTCTATGTTTTCTTATTAATGAAAAAATAAAAATAAGTTAACTGCAAGAAGATATACATGTAGTAGAAGGAAATAGTTCTTTTTGGAGCAGAAAACTATGTGCATTGTTTACTGTTGTTTGGTTAACTCTAGTGGATTGTCGTAGAATGGCGAGATGTGATTTATATTTTTCCTCTGATAAAACAATTTTATTTTTTTTTTTGGCTGCCTTAAATTGAGTTTGGGACTCTGATACTTATCTTAAATTGATTAAATTAATATTCGATAGTGTGTAAATCGATTAAAATACTGATCTTTGTTTGTTTGCAGGGTGGACCAGTTGATCCACGCAAGATACTGGTTTTTGAAGATGCACCATCTGGTGTCTTAGCAGCTAAGAATGCTGGCATGTAAGTTCTTGTTCGATCCAGTTTTTTCGTAAGAATTTTTCAAATTACTCCAAGATAAATCCATTTTACACCAAAAGATCTGTTAATATCTGCAGTTCACTTTGTTTGTGTTTTTCCCTTTGTACACATAAAAGAACTCGTGGATATTTACCGAATAGCAGATTTAACCAATCTCTCTGTATTCCCCTATATGTTCCGATTTTTTTGTTACCAGTAATTAGTAAATATGTGAAAAATCTCATTACAGTCTGAAGTTTGTCGAAACTATCATGCAACATCAGTATACAAAATCATGTCATTCTTTAGAATAGTTCGTTCACGTAAAAACTATTTAACGTCTTTTAGTCCATGGTAATTGTAACCAAATTTTCCTGTGCAGGTCTGTGGTTATGGTTCCTGATCCAATGTTGGACAATTCATATCACCAAACTTCTGATCAGACTATAAGCTCTCTCTTGGACTTCAACCCGAGCGAGTGGGGCCTGCCACAGTTCGAAAAAGCTGCAGCCTGATTTCACAATTCTATCAAAACAAGCATAAACTGTTATGCTCCTGTGGGAAAGATTG